GAAGGAAGGAAGGAAGGAAGGAAGGAAGGAAGGAAGGAAGGAAGGAAGGAAGGAAGATATCCATGCCAGATAGGTCTTTGAAAGTAATAAGTGACACCTTGAATTGAACCCAGATGCAAACTGGTAATCAATGCAAGTAGTCCTTGACTTACAACCTTTCATTTTAGTGACCATTCAAAGTTACAACAGCACTGAAAAAAAGTAATTTATGACCATTTTTCACACTGACCACCATTGCAGCATCCCCGTGATCACATGATCAAAATCCAGATGCTTGGCAACCGGCTCATATTTATGACGGTAGCAGTGTCCTGGGGTCATGTGATCCCCTTTTGCGAACTTCTGACAGTCAATGGAGAAGCCAGATTCATTTACTAACTTAACAACTTCAGTGATCTCCTTAGCAACTAGGGCAAGAAAGGTCATAAAATGGGGCAAAAATTCACTTCACAACTGTCTCGCTTAGCAGCAGAAATTTTGGGCCCAACTGTGGTCATAAGTCGTGGACTACCTGTACTCTTGCAGGAATTAGCCCCTACTCCTTCTCCATCACACTTCTCAAGTTTGCAAAGTGCCAGAGAGAAAGTAAAATGTTAGAGAGGGAAGGAGGGGCCATTGAGGCTATTGTATCCAACCCCAGATGGAATCCAAATTGAAATATCCAGAATAGATGACTACCCAGCTTAGAATGAATGAGCTGGAAGGGACCTTGGAGGTCTTCTAGTCCAGCCACCTGCTCAAGCAGGAGAACCTATCCCATTTCAGACAAGTGACTGTCCAGTTTCTTCTTAAAAACCTCCAGTGATGGAGTGCCCACGATTTCTTAAGGCAAGCTGTTTCACTGGTTAATTGTCCTCACTATTAGAAAGTTTCTCTTTAATTCCAGGTTGCTTCTCTCCTTGATGAGTTTCCATCTATTGTTTCTTGATTAGTTTCCATCCATTGTTTCTTGATTAGTGTCCAACCATTGTTTCTTGATTAGTTTCCAACCATTGTCCTGTCCTGCAGTGTTCTGGAGAATAATTTGACCCTCTCTTCTTCGGAGCAGTTTGATCACCTCCAACCAAGGGGAAGGTACCACCTGGCTTTGTTATTGGTTCCTCTCTGTAAGCATCTCTTGCATTTAACATGATTTTTTTTCGAGCATTCAATCATAATCTGCCTCTCTTCAATTTAAACCCACTAATCCATGTCCTGCATTTTAATCAACACATTGTGATACCCACTGATACAGTAAAAGTATTAGACTACTTTGTTCTTTCAGTGATACACTGAGTAAGGAAAAGCTGCCCACCCGCGTGTGAAATGATGTACATCATGTTAGACAGCTGTGGTCAGCTGCAGCCAAGAATATACTTGTATATTCTTGGGGTCTTGTGTTCCTTCCTTGTTTTTTTTTTCAGAAGCAAACCCAGCTGAGTTTAGGCTTTTTTCAAATAAGAATGCCAGATGAAGTTAAGTTTGTGGAATTGCTATTGCAAATGTTTCTCTGATATCCCAAAGATGCTTTGTCAAAAGGCAAGTGGGTTTTCTTTGTTTTTTCTCAAAGACGTTTTGCTTCTCTTCCAAGCAGCTTCTTCAGTTCTGATTGAATGGTGGAGGATAGAAAGATTCAGTCAGCCGTTCAGTCAGAACTGAAGAAGCTTCTTGTCTGAGAAGTGACACATTTTCAAAGAAAAACAAAGGAAGTCCACTAGCCTTTGACAAAGCGCTTTTGGGACAACCTTGACCTGGATGGCTGAGGATCTCTATAGACCCGTGATGGCAAACCTATGGCACGCATGCCAGAGGTGGCATGCAGAGCCCTCTCTGTGAGCACCCCAGCCATCGCCCCAGCTCAGCTCCTCCGCGCATGCGTGCGAGCACCTCCTGCCAACCAGCTGATCTTTAGGTCTCTGCTGTGCATGCACGGGGGGGTGGGGCACATTGCAGGGGTCATGCATGCAGGGGCAGGGCACATGCATGGGAGTTGCATATGCACGGAGCACAGGTGTGCACACGCATGCACATGGGAAGCGGGGTGCATACATGGGGGACACACACGTGTTGCATTTTGAGGATGCAGCGTGCGGGCTTTGGCACTTGGTGCCAAAAAGCTTAGCCATCACTTACTACAGATGCTTCTCTGATAGTTAAGTAGAAGTTACAAAAGAGACATTTGCCACAGCACAGTGGCATACACAGAGCACCCCCTCCTCAAAATATTAAAGCAGCTGCATCAGCAGTGGGATTCAAAAATTTTTACTACCGGTTCTGTGGGTGTGACTTGGTGGGCGTGGCGTGGCTTGGTGGGCGTGGCAGGGGAAGGATACTGCAAAATCCCCATTCCCTCCCTGCCCCACTAACCTGCTTTCCAGCTCTGTTCTCCTGTGCAGGGCAACACAAGAAGACCCAGCCAATCAGCTGGGACTCGGGAGACAGAGAATAGATGGGGGCGGGGCCAGTCAGAGGTGGGATTTGCCAGTTCTCTGAACTGCTCAAAATTTCTGCTACCGGTTCTCCAGAACTGGTCAGAACCTGCTGAATTACCACCTCTGAGCTGCATTGTTTAGAAACTCATGCAGCTGCTTTGAACTGTCTCCTTCTGCTTTCACACACATGTACATCCAACGATGCTGTGCTTTGCTAGCATTCTCAGGAGAAGAGAAGATTGGTCCTAACTGAGAACAGCTTTTCTAGCAGCCAAACCTCTTTAATGCTTTGGAGTAAGGTACATTATGACCATTTTTCACACTTAACGACGGTTGCAACATTCCTGCGAAGATGTGATCAAAATTCAGATGCCTGGCAACTGGTTCATATTTATTATTGTAAATAAGCTTTCTTTCCAACATGATCATATCAGCTCATATGTTACCTTTTATTTCTTTTTTAAACTTTTCACCCATCTCTTTCTGAATATCTCACTGATTCCATGCAAGCCTGACTTTTGCAGCCTATGTCGGTTGCAGTGTCCCGGGGTCATAT